TGACTGTATTTGATATTTTACAGTGAATATTTTTGTCATTCAATCTTCACATGAATAGAGAAACGGTGCTGACTACGCAGTTTATATAAACACTGGACAAGAATTTGACGGGAGCGATTCTGGTGCAAGACCTGATGAAGCTGTTAGCTGGGGTAAAATTAAGATGGCTGCTGAACCTGTTAAGGTTAGAGCTTCTATATTTAATAATTATGAAAATACTGTATTTTGATCTACTTTACTTTTTCTTACTAGGTTTATGCAGATGCAACAATTGTATTTCCACTGATTGTGGCTGAAACATTTGCCAAAGAGGTTTTATAATTAATAAATAAGATATTGTATATTTATTGTTTATTTAAAACTTAAAAATCATTTTTTTATCTATATGCTATTTTAGACAAACACTTATAAATTTATTTATAATTAAAATATTGCAGATATTAAAATATATAGATTATTGATAATTTTTTAAATAATATTATTTGGCTATATTAAAAAAAAATAATCTATAAAATTTTGCGCAATTAAAATAAATTAAAAAGATTATAAAATTTGAACAGTGCACTATGCACTTTGTGCATCCTATAGCAAAATTGAGTGGCAATAGATATTAGGTTAGGTTAAGGTTAGAATTAGAGTTAGGTTTAGGGTTAGAATAAGGTAAATTTGGAGTAGAACATTTTTTTATGTTACATGACAGGGTTATCTAGTCAAAATTTCGAGAAATTAGTGATTTTATAGAAATTTTATAGGAAGGTACACAAAGTGCAGGGTGTACTATATAGTCTTGTTTATAAAATTTATATAAATATAATAGTAAAAAATTTAACATTTAAATTTTTATCAAATTTTTGCAGTATGTAGTAGGTGATTTTTTTAATAAAATATATGAAATTATCTAAACAGTGTACCTATGCATTTTGTGTACTCTATAGCAAAAACTAAGCTAGCAATATAATTAGAGTTAGGTTAAAGTTAGAATTAGAGTTAAAGATAGAGTTAGAGTAAAATAAAAATTGCTAGAGAAATATTTTTGTTTATATTATACAATAGTATTATTTAATTAAAATTTTAAAATATTGTTATATTAGCAAATTTTATTAGTTAAATTTATTTGATTATATATATGGTGCAGGAAGTCTATACTCAACAGTTACACAAAGTGTTTCAATTTTTTAAATGGCTATAACTTTTTATC